CGCGCTGTTTGCCCCTCCCACTCGGCGGTCGCTGGGATTCGGGCTCTGTGGTGGGGCTGTGAGAGCCCCATCAGGCGTCGGTGATGACCCTCCCTGCATCGAAGCCCCATTGCTTGCTCGGCTTTCTTTGGGAATCGAACCGTGTGGTGGGTCGGTAGTGCTGCCCAGTGACTGCCTCTGGTGTTGTTCTGGTTCGCTTTCGATGGATTCCCAACTGGGAATCCGATCCTGGACCCTCCTCTCGGATCCTGCAAATCGTACATTCTGTTCCGTGGTGTCCATCTGCATGCGGGCTGGTGACCCAAGCGGGTCTCCGGCCCGCGGCGTGTGGGGTACGCCGGCCGCTCCTGTGGGGTGTACGCTGGGCGGTGGAGTCCCTCCGTGCGTCCAAGCCCCGTTTGCTTCGTGGATTTCATTGGGAAATGGACCCTGGAGTGGATCAATAGTAGCGTCCAGCGGCTGCCCCTGCTGTTGTTCCGGCTCATTTTCCATCGATTCTGCGCTGTAAAACCGGCCCTGATCCATTATTTTAGCTCCTGCATACCCTGCATACCCTGCACTCTGCCCCCTATTGTCCGTTTGTATGAGGGACGACGACCTATGCGGTTCATCGATCTGCATCGTGCGGGGTACGCCAATCTCCTGATTGGCCGCTCCTGCTGGGTGATCGCTGGGGATCGAGCCCTGCAGTGGATCGAGAGAATCCCTGTCAGGCATCGGTGGAGATCCTCCCTGCGTCCAAATCCCATTGCTTGCTGGGTTTTCACTGGGGAATGAACCCTGGGGTGGATCTGTGATATGGCCCAGCGACTGTTCCTGCTGTTGTTCCGGCTCACTTTCGATTGAGTTCATGCTGTGAAACCGATCCTGGGCAGTTATCCTGGTTCCTGGATACCCTATACTCTGCTCCCTGTGGTTCGTTTGTATGGGAAGCGCTGACCTGGGTGGTTCAACGAGTTGCAGAGTGTTGGGTACGCCGATCGTTCTGGCTCCTGCTGGGTGTGCGCTGGGGATCGGGCCCTGCAGTGGCTCGCTAGAGTCCCTGTGCATCAGTGGTGATCCGCCCTGCGTCGAGAGCCCATTGCTTGTTGGGTTTCCACTAGGAATCGAACCCTGGGGTGGATCGGCAATCACCGGGTCGCGGACGGGGAGCTGGTGTGCCGGCTCCCTTTCCATCGATTCCATGCTGTGGAATCGACCGTCGCCCATCCTCCGAGCGCTTGCATACCCTTCGCTCCGCTCCCTGTCGTACGTTTCTATGGGGCTGCTACTGGACACGCCAAGTGGCGCGACGCCGGAGCGGGGTATGCCGGTCTCCTTATTGGCCTCTCCTTCTTTCCTCTCGCTGCCTCTGCTGCTGCAAGATGGTCGGGGGGATATTATGATGACCTCCTGGTCATCATCATCCCCTTCTTCGGCCGAGCTGTAGGAGGAGTCCTCCTCGCTCGTGGGCCGCCGCGGCGCCTCCCGAGCTGCAGGGTGATGCGGAGCGAAATCCGCATCATTTTCAGCGAATTTTTTGACATTTTATAGCATTTAGTGTTTTGATAAATGTTAGAAAAAAGATAGGAAAAAAGAAAAGAGAAATAAGCTACAGTGCACTGATCTCTGCTGCGCGCACACGCACACCGGCGAGTGAACCCCAGCGGCAATTCCGCCCGTCGCGAAAACGGGTTAAAATTGCCGCCGGAGGGTTTTAGATGCAAGGAAACGGTCAAAAAACCATAAAATTAAAAAAAGGTAGCCAAATGCCTTGTCATCTAATTAGTGACGTGCATGAATGGATTAGCGAGATTCCCACTGTCCCTATCTACTATCTAGCGAAACCACAGCCAAGGGAACGGGCTTGGCGGAATCAGCGGGGAAAGAAGACCCTGTTGAGCTTGACTCTAGTCCGACTTTGTGGAACGACTTGGGGGGTGTAGCATAGGTGGGAGCTTCGGCGATCGTGAAATACCACTACCCTCAGTGTCGTTTTACTTATTCCGTCAGGTTGAGACGCATGCTCGGCATGTGTTTTTGTCTTAAGGTGCCG